CGGCGATGAGGCTGGTCCTGGTCATGACGATGCTTCTGAGTTTGAGAGGGATGATGAGTTGGCTTGTTTCAGAGGCCTTGTCTTGGATATCTCCTACAGGTCACCTCACTTCTCTTTATGGGATGCGTGCTTCATTCTTGTTTCATTCTTTCAAGCTTTGTAAATTTGTAATTGGTTGCTTGAACTAATGTAGACAATTTCTTAGTCGACAAACCATGGCAGACAATTTAAAAATTTTTTTTCTGGACTGCCCATAAAGTTTGGCGATCTATGTTTTGCAATACACCAAAAAATGCTGGAAGCTCATACGAATGTTTAAGTCGAGGTTTTGAACTAAATTACAATTTAACTACCATAATTCTCCAGAGGGAAGTCAGAGGACTGAAAATCCTCAACTAGAAATAGACGCACAACTTTATAATCCGTTGTCATGTTGACTCGTTTGGATATTGAATAGGAATTTCATAAATTCCGCAAATTGAAATACACTCTAGCTTGCTTCTTTTTTCCATTTTTTTAATATTTCCCTTTAAGCTCATCTACATGATATGCTTATTGTACAATAACCATCAGTTGGTCCTGTAGCAAGTATATCTGCAATGTATATTGTGCATCGTTTTGTTGGCTGTGTCGAGGGCCTACTCTTTTCTGATGATGATGACACAATTTCTTAGTTTGTCTTAGTTTTAGTTTTTTGTATTTATGTGTTGGCAATTCATAAGCCGAAACTGTTGATCCTAAGCTCTTGAGTTTTCTTCCCTCTTTCCGCTCTACCATTTTACAAGTGCTTGAAAATATGTTTTCTCATAGTTCTAATTGTTGTTCAACGGTGCCAGGCCAGTTAATGTTGTCTGCTGGAAGCGTGCTATTTGCTTGGAATACATGGAGAAGGTTGGACTGCCGTGGCTCACTTATTCATGTTAGATATTTTTCCAAAACAGATGGTACTTAAAAAGAGGATAAGTTTTTCTGCAGTTAAATAGGATAAAACAGTAACACTCCTTCAAAACCAAATGGACCTGCCATATTCAGGATTAGATTCCTATTGGTTTATGATGCCTGCTTTAGATACATGTTTTAATTGGGTTCAAATCTTCTGTTGTACCAGGCGGATGTACTTGAATACTATGATCAGACTGTAAATTCCCCAAATGGATCCTTCTACATACCTGCTGTCCTAAGGGTATAGAGTTGCATGACTTTTACCAATGTTTTTACTTGCATTCTCGTTGGCTTCTTTCTTCTTGGTACTTTTCCCTTGTTTGTTCTAGTTCACTTGAACTGAGTACATTTGCTTCTGGTTCCAGGTTCCACATTTACTGCAGATTGTAAAGAGAAGAAGAATTAAGAACAATCTTAGTCGTAAAAATATACTATGTCGGGACAGTTTCACTTGTCAGTAAGTAGATTACCCTTTTAGTCAAGTTAAAGCTGCTGAATCAAGTACACATATCTCTTGTGCTTAATTTGATTTCATAGTTGCGTCTTCTAAGATGAGAGTTGGATTAAGCATATGCGTCTCAGGGGCTAGCAAGTGAACATTGCAGCTAGGCTAGCTCTTACAGTCTCGTGTAGTCATACCGAAGACCTTGGACTGAATCTCACCTCACCAGGGATGGGAGATGTTATGGGATGAAAGAGATTATCTCTATGTACCCCCATAGGCCCAACAGACCTCTAGTGAACCTTTAGAAGGAAAAGCATTGTGAGATATAGTGCTGTGTGGTCTACATTGCGTTCAGATCTCAATGATGTTATAACAAGAGAAATTTGTTGCATGATGTGAAATCTTGGAAGTTAGACTTATAGAAATACTGTGGGTAGCAAACAAAAAAAGTTCTTGCAACATATCATCACAATGAAGGTGTTTTGGATTATGCTCTTACTAATGTGGCTGGGCCTTTTATGTGTTGTTTCCTGTGGCGGTTTAGTTTAGTTTATCAGCTTCTTGATGATTAGTTCAAAAATTGATAGGTTTACTTAATGAGGAAACTAAAGGTATTCAAATTGTATAAGCAGTGGAAGGAGAAGGAGAAATCAGTCTGCTAGATAAGTGAAATGCCTTAGTTGTGATAATGCAAAGAGAGGGAATTGCCCAAAAAAATTCAGTGAAGAAGGCTCCGTAGAAAAACAGAGGTGTAAAGGTGAGGAATAGATCCTTGTTTTATAAGGCTAGATGCATCAAGTTCAATGCTGGGTAACCCAAGAGTTTCAGGGTTGAGGCCGTCAACCAACAGTATTCGTTATCAACAGATCACCAGCTGCAGGTACTGGTTTTAGAGTTCTAGAACAGATGTAGACAGGTAAACTGATTAATGATGTTCAGCATACATCCTTCACAAGTAATAATCAGTATCTAACAGATTGAAATTCATGATACACATCATTAGGCTTCTCTGTCTACACCGCTGATTTGCCTTGGGACATCTGGATAACCTTTCTCGATCCTGACTATTGTAAAACAGGAAGTACGTAGCTTAGAATTGAGTGATCTGTTCTCATGGCCATCATCAACAACGGAAATTTATTAGCCATGAAATACTAAATAGACGTTTAATTCAACCAAGGGTTATTTAGATTTTTTATGAAGGGTCATTTAGATATTGAATACTAACTTTGCATGTCTTCTCAACAGGTACTGTTCTTCGAGTGAAAACTTGACTATTGACCATGTTTTGCCAATTGTACGTGGTGGAGAATGGAAGTGGGAAAATCTGGTAAGACAACCAGTTCATTAAAGATTTAAATTCTTCTTGCATCATTGACTAGACGCCGGAGTGGTGCTTAATTCTCTCACACTTCATGTGTGCGGGTGAGTGAGAGAGAGAGAGAAAGAGAGAGACATGTTGGCATTAGATCTCGAGTAGTTTAATTAAAATTAGAAACCGTGTTTTGCAGTGGATTTCAGCTTCTACATTTTTTAATTGTGATCACAAGTTTGAACTGCATCATATAAAGTACAGTTCAACTTTCAGTAATGAGAGCATATTAACAGGAATGAGCCAGGGTACACGACCTTCAACAGATTATTTACTGTTGGGCTTATCCAAAACCTCCCTAAGAGAGAGGATGCTCCTTTCCATCTACCTTGTATAATGGATGCACATGATCACTGAATTGCAGAAGCATTTTGTTGCTGTTTTTTCCCCCCCCCCCCCCTTTTTTTTTTTTCATTCTCCACCCTATTCCTCTGGAAACCCTGCTTTGGAAGGAGAAAGTCTAACCTTGAACTTATTGCAAAGAAAATGTATCCCAACTCGCTGCTTACATGCTACTAAAATTAATTATGAGACTGGATTTTTTTACATACTGCTCTCTTTTTTCGTACTCCTCTTTTTAAGACTGAATTCCAACAACCTGAGGCCTACTTCCTGAATCCTTCTTTCACCATTCAGCCGTATTGTGATAGAGCAAATGACGTCGTAGAAAATGAGTGTTGGATAATGTGTATTTGGGCCATTCTCCGCTATATCTTCTCTCAATCTTTAACC